ACACTAACTGTTACTCTCACGTTATTACCTAATAAAACAATTTTCCAAAATAAATCCACATTCTGGTGAATCTCTATTACAAATCTTTACTTTCCAAAACTTTGTTTTTTTGTCCTCTAAATCTAGAATCTTACCAACTATCAACTGCTCATCTGATTGAACTTTTTATACAGAATGATATAGAAAATGATCACGAGACAATGAGACACAATTTTAGCAAATGCTAACTTTATAATGTATAATATATTTGATTTCTATGTGAGATAAGTAGTGAAAAATCAAAATAGTAACTTTAACAATAGGATGTGAATGGCGTCAGGAGTGATGTCAGTGGATAGACCTGTTTTTTTTGGAAGATAGTGGTTGAAATTTTCTTGGTAATAAGCAGGTAGAAATTTTCTTGTTAATAAGCAGGTTGAAATTTTATTGGCAATAAGCAGGTTAAAATTTTATTGGTAATAAGCAGGGTTGAAATTTTCAAAATTTTTATTTGCTATAAACTTATAGTTATGAAATAGTTTTATAAAATTAATTTGTTTCAAAAATATGCGTTTTATCATTGTAGGGTATTCTTTAAATATTTCAACAAAAAATATAAAATAATAAAGACCCATAGGCAAAAAAATGCACAACTTTTAGTCACATTTTTATAGTTAATTGAAGAATCACACTTTTTTTTTTAAATGCAAATGCTTGAGTTGTTTTATGTTACTTTTACTTATATTACTTTTGTGAAACAATGTAGATTTTTTACAAGTTCACTTGTCTTTTGAGCTTGTGTATAACATATTTCTAGCTTTTACTTCTTTCAACTACAATAAAATACAAAGAACAATATCTTTTTTAGATTAGCAAGTTTTTTAGATTAACTATGAGTCCTGTGGGGCTAAAGTATGCGAACTAGATATTCTAGGAACTTTATATTCTGCATACAAGAAAGATTATTGCAATCTATTAAGATGATGTTCTTTGCTATTATTATAGAAATACTAGGCCACAAGCCAAAAGAACCAATTAACTTTCATGATGTCACGTTTAATTAGTTAGAAAAACTTCCCAGCCATTCAAAAAGTTAGGCAATCTACCCTTGTATATCTACATCAAGTCTAACCATCCGCTAAGTATTATTAAGTTCATACCTACTATGATATCCAACCATAATAGCAATAAGCAAAATATTTTAATGTTTTTGAAAAAGCTGCACCATTTCATAATAATGCTTTAGCAGCACTTACACAAAAATAATTTAATTATAAAAATGTTTGAAAATAATTAAAAAATTGTTCACAAAAACTAATTACAATAATTTGATGCCGCAGTTCTGAAATAATCTGCAATTGTTCACAAAATTGTCTTTGCAAATTCTCAAATTCTTCAACCTAAAAAAAAAATGTTAAAGAAATTTATTTTACTACAAACTAAATTTTTATCCATGTAATAAAATAAAGTTGATAACTATATAGTAGATTTATGTGCAAAAAAATTAATTGAGCATATATGCATATGCTTAACTATTGAAATTTTACATATATGCAAAAGTTGCACATTTGCATGGCTACTCAAAAAAAACAAAAACTAATTTCAAACCAAATTTGTCTTTTTTATACATCAAGTTCAGTTGTATATGAAGTGCAATATTTACATAAACACATAATATTATGCACTAAACAAAGCATCAATTAAAAATTCTAAGTTATGGTTTAGTATCACAGGTGCCCTTTACTAAAAGTGGTTATGATTTAATTTAAGTTAAAAGTCTCGCAAGTTATGATTCAGTTTTTAAAACTTTAGAATTTTTATGAGTCTTTAAATTAAAGATTTCAATCTTTCTAAAATCTAAAAATACTTTGATTGGAGTTTAATGATTACCCTGCTACTGGAACATGTAATCTAGTACAACCTGTTACATATCCTACTGGACTCCCATTTTTAAGCAAAGACTAGAAGAAGTTAATTCTAAATATTTTTTTTGCTTTCAAATATTCATCTAGGGGAAATATAAATTAAATATGGCTGTATCTTGTAGAAACCCTGTATCTTGTAGAAGGCCACAATTATAGGAGTAAGTAAAAATTGCTGTAGTCCAATCTTGTAAACCTGTGATTTCTGCCTAGGATAAGGAACACTGGATCTTCTTGACTCCAGTCATATGATTGCAGCTCTAAAACTCAGTTAAGTTGCTTGAGGCTCGCTGATAGAAAAGTTTCCAGAACTCTTGAGTAGCTCTCATAGAGGCTTATTTATCAACAACTATGGGTTGCTTATCAGAATGAAAACATTTCTCAGAAGATGTTTGATTCACTGAAAAGTACTATCAATGTTTGGATATAAAGTTGGATATAATGTTTGTTGTATACAATGTTTGTTGTATACAATGTTTGTTGTAAAGTATTATTAATGTTTGAGCTGTTAATCATACCAAAAAATTTAAACATAAAAACCTTTAAAACAAATTGTTTCAATTTTTTACAAATATACGTGGTTAAAGTAATTTTTTATTTGTGAAATTTTAAATCTTGCAAAATTTCATATGCCTATATTGCTATTCTTGGTTATTTTGATGCTCATCCCATTTAACACCTTCACAACAGTTCTAGTGCCATCGACTCTGCTGGTGCTATAGTTCAAAACTTTTGCTTTTTTTAATCTCTCTTTTTTTTTTATTAATTAACTCACTCCCAACAAGGCTGCAAGCAACCACTATTAAATTGAGATTTACTAGAAAACAAAAAATTTTGTTGAAGAGCAAGGAAACAGTTCACAGAAGACTTAATAAGTTGAAGGTTTTATAAGGAAAACATGAAGATGGGAGAGTTTCAAAGAATTAAAATGCAGGGGAAAAAATTGTATGAATAAAAGTTTTTAGAGCATAAAGGGACAAATACAGTAAAAGGATGCAACTTTGCGGAATGACGAGTCAGGCAAGAATGAGTTTGGCTGCAACCAACAATGATGTTATTTGTAGAAAGAGAAAGAGATGTAACCTTATGACAATACAGCAGTGGCTTAACCTTGGTAGATAAAGCAGGTCCAACTACTTAACTTTGCAATTGAATGTTTATATGGTTTCTATGAAAAGTCAGTAGTGAATGAAAATTCAAGAAGATGTAAAATAGCTTGTACTAAGCAATTAAAAAAAGAAGACTTTTTTTTTAAAAAAAGGAGTATAAATTTGAGTCATCATCAAATGTTATGATTACACTAAAACCTTGTACTATGATGCTATGATGTACTATTATATCTCAAAATTTATCTGAAACCGTTTCTACATCATGCTGCACCTCTTACTCCTACTCTCTTGTAGTAGAAAAACTTTTTATTGTGGTTTTATTCCTGACGATTCTTTGGCTGATATCCTTTGTCTCTGGCCAAAACTGTAACACATATGCAATATAATTTCAAGAAGGATTGAAACTTATTCCTTTTTGTTGGTTTTAAGTCAAGCCCTATTCTACCCCAAGTTTTCCTCCATTTTGTGCAGCTGCTATACCAAATCAAAATCCTTTTTTTTTTTTTAATCAGAGTAACTCTTCTAAAAACAAATTTTTTATCATTTCAAAAATACCAGAAAAACAAATAAATTTATTACTAGACATCTAAATCACTTCCATTGTCATACAGCTCAATTTTTTTTTCAAACTCTCCAAATTATTTAAACTATTATTCAAACATTGTTCTCTTGCCTGATGAAAAATCTGTGGTTCCAATTTTTTTAAAAATTCTAGATATTGCTCTGGTCCCTCTCACTATCGTTATACTATTAATGCTTTGGACTTAAAATAAAGTATAAGAAGTTTGTAATTAGCTTACTTCTTATATTTTAAATCCAACAACTTATTTTCTAACAATAAATACAGATTTAGAGACAATAAATACAGGTTTCTCTTGTTTTACAAATGATTTGTTCATCATAACAACAGTAGAATAGATATTAGAATAGATGTATCATTAGTTAGAAGAGATAAGGCTATTGCTCTTAAAATATCAAAGACTTGTAATAAAGTCTGGTATGTTTGTATTTTCCCTAAGCTCTCTTTATATGATATATCTGGGTAATGTAAAATTCTTGAATCATTCCTTTTTAATCACAGTATTAAAGTCAAATGCTTTTTCTTTTTCATTAGCCTCTGAAGTACCACAAGATTTCATTTTTGGTCTTGTGTTTTTCTTATCATTATTTACTACCTTCCTGATAATCTTACCTCTAAAGTGAATCTATTTGTTAAGGAACAACTTTATAACCCACTCTTAAAGAACAATTTTATAAACCACTCTCGATAAAAAGTCATCACTTTTTAATCACTAATGGGTGATGACATAAAAAATTGACTATTTTTAAATTAAAACTGAAACATATTTAAGCACAAAATAAATTGTTGTATTTCTTTTGTCTAGAAATCCTAAAGAAAATTATATTGAATTGTTACTTTATATTAAAAACATTAAAAAAGTATACAAAAAAATAATGCAGAAAAAAATGTAAATAAAAATCCAGAAAAAGATACAGAAAATAAGTTATTATTATAAAAGACATAAATAATAATATTGATGCTCTTCCCTGTAAATTTAAAGAATGAAATGATGAACCTTATTTAACTGTCGGGCATAGTAATTAATGAGTATATATATAGTAACTAACAAAGAAAATATATTATATTCTTGTTATACATATATATATACATATATATATATATACATATATATATATATATATATATATATATATATATATATATATATATATATATATATATATATATATATATATATATATATATATATATATATATATATATATGTATATATATATGTATATATATATGTATATATATATATATATATATATATATATATATATATATATACATATATATATATATACAGTCAGTGAAATTCGAAGGATTTCAGGTCACCAACCATAGTTAACGTTAGGTCGGCAAAAAAAAAAAAATATATATATATAGAGTTTTTGCTTTCTGTTACAATAGGGGTAATGATTAATTGATTATAAAAGGATTGCTTTATAATAGCATAGCTTCAGACAATAATACTTTAAAGAATGTAGCAACTAAATTTTGTGTAGTACATCATATAGCAAATTTATGAATAAGTGATTTTTTAGTTTTAAAGTTGTTTTTTTTTACAAAAAAAATGGTCATAATTTATTTATTACATTTTAATTGGTTTTTTAGATTGCTCATAGAAAGAACGTTGTTTAGAAATACAAATTTAGTGTATGTGGTGTAGGCAAAGATTTTGTTTAAAACGAAAAATTGTTTAACAAAATGAGTATAAAGTTAACATCCAGTTGTATAACCTCAACAAGAAATTAGCATTTATTTCTCCATTAGTAGGGGTGGTGATTTTCAATATTTAATTGTAGTATAGTATGAACTTGTAACTATATGTAAATTGATGGAGGGAAAACAAAAAATAAAAATACTAAAAATAGTTTTTTTTCTCATATATAAATAATGTTTTGAGTTTGCTAACTGTATTACTGTTGCGATTTAATGGAAGTCTAAAGTTTTATCAAATAAAAAAAAAGTTTTGTAATTAATGTTTCTTCTCTGCATGTTTCTAACATAACTATAACAAGGCTAAACTTTCTTAATATACTTTCTGATCTTAAATAATAATTCTAAAAAAACCGTAAACATGTAAATTATTTAATTAGTTAAATGGTTTAAAGTAAAAAAATAAATTAAAATTAGATTTTATATCTTAATAAAATAATAATTGCGCTTAAAAAGCGTGAAAATTTATGTGTCACTCCATTGACTAGTTTGTAACTATTTGAGTGACATCTAACAAATTCTATTAATTTACGATGAGATTTGTAAATTTTTATTGATATGGTTAAATAAAAATAAAAAAAAAGAACAACAAGCATTTAAAAAGTAATACTTTTTAACTTTGCTATGCTTGAATAAATTTGAGAAAAAATAAAAAACTGAATTGAAAAAAAATGAATGAAAATTTGTTTTAATAAAACATGTTAAACTTGAAAAGCAAGCAATTACAATAAAAATATTATAAAATAATATTTAACGAATACTAGATATTTTTTACATGTATTTCAATTTGCATGCCGACACTTTAAAATATTCAGGTCGGCAGTTGTAAGCCGTCCTAAAGCTAAGATAGGTTGGCTTTTGCATTGGCATTGCCGAATACCGACCTGAATTTCGCTGACTATATATATATATATATATATATATATATATATATATATATATATATATATATATTTAATTTAGTTATATATATATATATATTAATATTTAATTTAGTTTCAAGCCATTACGCAAAACCCATTACAATTAAGAAAGCAAACCCACTAAACATTCCAAAATGCAAACTAATCATAGACTTTTGTAGTACTTTGAAAGTTGAAGTTTATTTTTAAAAATGGTCTGCTATAGTAGCATGATAAAACTTTTTCACCACAATATATGATCAAATGACCATGAATATATGTTTTATATAATGTCTAATAAAATAACATCTTTTATTAATGATGCTTCCTTGTTTTTCTTATAATTGCCTGTAGCTTGTATATTATATAATATATAAAATACAATAAAGATTTTGTACCTTCACTTTTGAATTGTCAATTTTTTTGAAATGTTGCATCTTTTTTTCTTTTTTCTGAATCACTTCTTGCAGATGAACAAGCTTTTCATCCTGTAAATATTAACTATAATAAAAACTTAAATAAATAATTACTAACTATAATTACAAAATTGAATAAATAATTACTAACTATAATAAAACCTCTAAATATGAAAAGTAAAATTTTTATGAAAAGTTCAACCTTTTTATGTAAAAATAAAATCTTTTTTGTATAAAATATAATTATGTTAAAAAGGAAAATTTTACTATGTAAAAAATAGATGCTTTCTGATTGAAAAATAGAATCTTTTTATGAATAGTAAAATGAATGAAAACTAAAAAAACTTGCTGAAAAATAAACAATTTACAAAACAGAAAACTTACTTTTATTGATAAATCTTTTTGAAGTTCTTTGATTTTACTTTCATATTTTCGAACTAAATGACTAAGATCCATATTTTTTTTTCCTAACTGTGTCAATTTGTCTTCTAATGGCTTATGTTGCTTTTTAAGTTCATTTAAATCATTCAACTAAAGTAATCATAAATTAAGATTAATATAAATTAGTAAACATAAATTACTAACTATACAAAAAACTTAATTCATTGTATTTAATAAGTTTATTTCTGCCATTTTATGTCTATTTACTTCGTGCAAAATTTCCATATTAAATCCATTATGATTTATTTATTATTATTTTCATAATTTTATTTGTTGTGAAAACATTTTTAAATTGTTGAAGCTGAAAGAAATTGTCAAGATTTTTTTAAATTTTCACAAACAATCAAACTAATTTATGTAAATTTTATAACACAGAATGATAAAATTTTATGCTTAATCTTAAATTTATCATCTAAACTTTGAAGTATTTCAAGTATTTAAAGTTGACAATTTGAGTTTTTTAATTGATAGGCATCAAATATTTATACAAACTTTTGAAAGACTCATTTCTGTCTTTTAAACCTCAAATTCTGCTTATTAGGAAACTGCAATACTTGTACTTTTTTATTTAAAAACAGAAAAAACCTAAATAACAATTATTAAAATTTTGCCAAGATACTTTGGCAAATTTTTAAACTCTTCTTCACTAATTTATCTTAAGCAACTGTAACAAAAAAACTTTAAATAAATTTATAATTCTATTAAACATTATTCTGCTCAGTATTCTGCTAACATAGTTAGCATAAACTTTTTAATAAGAAATAAAAAAATTTAATTATTTTAATAGAAAATTGACAACTAAAAAAAAAAATTCAAAAAAAGCATACCAATTCCTGGTTGTTAATTGCAATTTGTTGATTTTTTCCATCAAGTTTTCTAACAAGCGTACAAAGTTCAATATACTTTCTATGGAGAATTCGTTCTGGATCATTATGGGGTTTGGTAGCCTAAAATCAAAAATTACCAGACTTCAAAATATAGTTATAGCAACAAACAGCTATAGTTACTGGTGATCAAAATATGAAAACTTTTTAAAGCCTATTTTCTATGATATGGACATTTTTTTAACAGTATGGTGTCAGATGCCACGCAGCTCAAAATAAATGGCTTTATGGAGATCCAAGTTTCCAGGTTGCATTATCTTATGTAATGTGATGTCAAATGGTCACCAAGATCTTGTGTGTATTAACCCATAAAGACTATTTTCTTTGGGGTTATGGCAAAACATCTATGCCAATGTCTGAAAACAATTAGGCAAACTTTTAGCTTGAGATTACTGAGGTTATTATAGAAATACATCTTTTTTTGATTGAAATTGTGATTGAAAAAATGTATGTAAAAAATCCAAAGGTGGTCATTTGCCTGATACCATTTTTTAAAAAATATGAAGACATATGTTAAACTTTAAATGAAAAATAAAAAATGTAAATAGACTCAATTAATTACTTTTCTATTTTAAAAAAATTACTTTTAATTATAACTTTTTAAAATTTCCTTACTGATATATAAAATTTAATCAAGTAATCAAGTTTTTTTTATTTAAGTTATATTCTCATATGGTGTTATTCTTTTATTCTCCTGAAATTCACTTTGTAATATATTTATAAAATGATTTTTATTTTTAACATAAAAAAAAATTGTATCAAATTTATACTTATTTATAACTACTTTTACTTTGAAAAATATTTTTGTTACATTTTAAACACTTTTCTTATATTTCTTGACCACTCCCTCATATTCATGATTAAAACTAGTGCAGTTTAAGTATATAATGTTAAATGTTATTTAAAAAAAAAAACTTCAACAAAAAAATAAACTCACTAAAATAGGAGGCATCTCCATCATGTAACCTTCTATATCAAAATCTTCACTGTTGTTATATGGAGATTTTTCGAGTATCATATTTAAAGAGAAATCTTTTGTTTCAGGTGAAAGCATATATTGGACTTTTTCTACTTCATATGCAGTGGTGTCCTTATCATGAGATGGTTTCTTTTCCAGCTTTTCAATGTACTTGTTGAGTTTCTTTATTTCAGAGAACTATTTAATAAAAGTTAAATAATTAATAAGTTATAAAACTAAATATAATAAAACTAATTACTGTTAGTGAAATTGTGAAACCTCTAGTAATTCAAAGATGCAAGAAGAATTAAAAATGTTTCAAAATATATTGCATAAAAAAGATAAATAAATTTCTTCAATACTTTTGTTTGTATTATATAATAGCTGTTTCTACAGTTATCTTTATCTTTGTGATTCCTTGTAAAAATTACAAGGATTTGCTGTTTGACCCATGTTATGTTTTTGGAGTTATTTTAAAACTACATATCATATAAATATACATATAACTTAAACATCTTTTGATTAGTTTAAATATTAAAAAAGGACAAGATAAAAGTTGCAAAAAATTGATTTTAAAATAAAACATCTCTTCAAAAGTAAACTAAATTTCTATTCTTTATAAAACAATTTTTTGACCATGAAAACTTGGACAACAATTATGTAAATTTTTTACATTTATAAAAAATAGAATGACAACAAAGATGTTTTTGCAAAAAATAATACTTGTAGTTATTTAAAAAAAAAAAGTAACTGTAAAAAAAAACTAAATCACCAAAACTTGAAACCCACTTGAAAAATCAACTTCTAGTACACCAATGGAGAAAATTAAAATTATACCATTTTATAAGAGGTATGGGCTCTAACAAGAGGAATTAAAAGATACTTCCATAAACCAGAAAATACAATTTTAACTTAGGAAAACAAAGTATAAATAACTAACTGTAAATTACTAAGCTAAAATAAATATTTTCTATTAAACTATTTTTAGAATATAAAATGATTTTAAAGAAAAATATTACACAGCTACTATCAATCTGCCTTGCTTCAGCCATTTAAGTGTTCCAGCTTTTTAACTTCTTACTTCACCCACTTAAGCATCATTATTTAAAAGAAAGTAACTATTATATATTAAAATCAGAATGTTGGAAATCAGAGAATTGGAAGTGTTAGAAATGTTAAAACCAGAATTTTGGAAATCAGAGAATTAGAAATGTTAAAAATATTAAAATCAAAATGTTGGAACTCACTATCAACCAATCATACATGTCATAAACTGTGGTGTTAGAAACTGTTGGTGTTAAAAAAAAAACAAAAAGAAAATCCTGTCATTGTACATGCATGGCTGGCATGGATCAAATTTCCAAATGTGTTGGTACAACAATATATATAATGAAAGCTGCTGTATAAAACAGTTTAATAAACTTTAAATACTTGGGAGTGATTCTAATTATTTTAAATAAATGGGAGCAATTTCATATTATAACTCCAGAGCTTGCAACTATAAGTCTCAAATTTTAAAGTTTTACTAAACTTTAGGACAACATCAGAAAAAAAAAGCTACATCAGCATTTTTGTAACTTGCTCCAGTAAAATTGCAATAAAGATCAAAATTTCAAGTGTTATGTTTTAAGTGTTATGTTTTATGTTTTAATGTTCATTTTATCATTTTTTTCAATTGTTTTATTATATTTTTTGCCTCAAAATATGTAAATGTACATATTTTCAGCTTTCTATTGCACACAGAAGAGAAACAAAGACCAAAACTATTTTTTAAAATGGCAGATTTTTGGTGGGTTCAACTTAAAGTTAAAATAATTATATCTTTGAAATTGCTTGGAGTTAAATGATGAATTTTTGGGATTGAAAGTTTTAATAGTTTATTAAAATCTTTGAGTGGTGTAAAAATAAACAAAATCTGAGACTTAGGGTTGCATTTTATAATAAATTTGGATGTTTTCACATGGAATTGCTTATGGCTATCCATCATCAAAAGAAGTAGCACCTTTTAAAATCAAAAAGCTTTAGACTTAAGCTACGAAGATTTTGGTTAAAAAGGTAAAAAGAACTGAAAATTGGATGCAACACCAACCAAGAAATAATCTTCTCTCAAATAATAGTGCCATTATTAAATACTAATTTTGCTACTGCTTTTGAGAAATTATACCACCAAGCATTTTAATTACAAAAATATCAAAGGCAAAAATTTATTGTAATACTTAATGTTATATATATTTTTTTATATTATAATATAATAATTAATACTTAATTGGTTATGTTTTTACAATAGTTGGTGCCAGCAATTGACTTACCAAGCATATAAACTGCTTGTAAAATGTAAGCAATGTTATTTCTACCTCTGCATTGTGCACTGAGTTTTTTTTACAAGTTTTAAAGTAAACATGGCTTTTTTATTTTACAAGTTATCAAAGAAAATGGAAAAAAAATATTCTTTATCAAAAACAGTACTAACATTTTTTTGCATAATGCGATGTAAATTTAACATCTCCTTTTCCTTCTCTTCTTGAAGTTGTAAGGTTGCACAATAAAGTACAATCTTGAAGTTGTAAGGTTGTATATATTTGAAAATTAAACTTAATTTAACTTACATTTTTTTAACCTGTATTTAGACAAAAAAAATTGGTATTACTGCAAAATGTTTTATTAATTTATTTTTTTTAACTTAAAGTTTTTGTTTCTTTTATATTGTAATTCATATCGTAATGTTTATGAATGAAACTTGTATTGCAATGTTTTTGGATTATATTTGTTGTATTTCAAAATGACATTTAAGCAACATATTAATTACTTATCTATTATTAGATTGAAAATTATTGGCAAATTACAAATGACATACCAAAAAAGTGTGTATATATGTATTTGGAAAGATAAACTTTTTAACAAACATCATACAAACAACAAATAACTCAAAATAATAAATAATTAATAAGTTAGAAATGAGATAATAATATATACATGATTAAAATCCAGTCTAATTTTTAATTTATTAATATATGATTAACTAAAGTTAATTTTAAATTAACTTAAAACATCCAAACATTTTCAACTTGAAAAAAGATCAAGTTTTAAAAGAACTACTGCAAAGTAAAGAACACCAGTACATCATTGAGGAGACACCAGTACATCATTGAGGAGACTAGACACAATATGAACAGCCAAAGGAACACTGTTATAAAAGGCACACATGAACATAACTAGTATATAGTAAAAATAAAAATAGTAAATAATAAGATTATTATAAAAAAAATTTTTAAGTCAATATATAAATGAAAAAAATAAAATGAAACAAGAATTTTATTTATTGAGCAATAATTTTTTGTTTAGGTTCTGCTATATGTTTTTGTTTTAAATTATAGAGTGCATGTTAATGAAATGCATGTAGTAGCATGGTAATTTACTTCTATTTAAAACTTTGCACTTTGTAAACTAAATTCAAAATATAAAAATTTAGACATTGAAAAAAATATAACTTACAAAGTTTAAAAAAAAAATTATTTTTGAAGTGTCATTAAAAATATTCACAAAAGATATGCAATAATCAAAAGATAAAATTAAATATGCATATAATCAAAATTTATTTAAATAAAAATATTAATAAATATTGATTAATTAGAAGAACATTTTTAAAAAGAATGCAAATCTATGAATAGCATTCATAGATTTGCATTCTTAAATTTGCAACATGTTTATTTTTTTTTACTTCTTTAGTGGTTAACAGATTTTCAAGCGTAAACTTTCTTGTATTTAAAAACCTTGGTCAGCCATAACCTTGTCATTTTATTCTATATATATCAATATAGTATCTAATATATCATCTGCCCTTTGTCATATACTTGTCACTTGCCCTTTGCCTTAATAAAGCAAACTGCAAGTAACATTTTTAATAAAAATAATATTAACAAGAATATCTATAATATTATAAATAATAAAACCAAAGCATCATTATTAAGAATAAATATAAATAAATGAATGACAAAGAAGTCACTCATGCAGAAACCCTATTAAAGGAGTGATACCAAATAATTATATTAATAATATTATTTTCAAAAATAGTAATAATAACAATAATAACTTTATTCATTAATAGATCAAAAGAAACAGCAAAAATGATATTTATAATAATAATAGTAATAATAAAAATAGCAGTAATAAAAATAATAAATAATAATGACAAAAACAATAAAGTTTCTATAAAAATAGTAAGAAGAAAAAAGAAATAAAAAAACTAAAAGAAGTTAATAATGATACAAAATATAATAATAAAAAATAAAAATAAAATTTTTTTAAGAACTTTTTTAAATTTATTTTGTTTTAAATAACGAAATGAAGATAAACTATTTTTAAGTTTTAATTTTTTAAACTCATTCACAATGCACACAAGACTTCGATTTCATTAATTGATGCACTGATGTGTAATTGAATACTTACCATCCCTCATATAGGGAGGTACATTTAGTTTTTCATTATTGATGTTTCTAGTTAAATGTGAATGTATAATTTGAGTTTCTGTAAAGAAGGTTGTAATATAGTAAAGTAAATTTTTATTAAGGGAGCCACAAAAAAAAGAAGATAATCAAATCTAACTAGTGCTGACAAGGTAGAAATTTTAAGTTTTTTGAAGAAGTTTGAAGTTTCTGTATTATAGAGTTGATAATCTATTATTCCGATTGATTGGCGCTGAGCTGATAACAATTTATTAATATTATAGTTACCAATTTGTACCCAAACCTGACTGCAGTAGTTGATATGAGGCTGAAAATTTGAAAAATATAGATTCATAAAGGTAGCTTTATCAACATAAGGGCAAATTATTGAAAACATGTCATTAGCTCATTTAAGTTTTTCACAGAATAAGTCTATATGAAAATTTCATGAGGTTCGAATCTATAAAAATATCAAGATGTTTAACAATGTGTGTTAGATATAAACATCTATTATTAAGTTTTTTCCAAGTTCACAGAAATTAAGTTTGCATTTAGCCAACAAATTAAACCTTTTAAGTCTAAGTTTATATTCTTACACAAGAAATGACAAGACTTAATATGAAAGATATTAGTATAATTAGCAAACAAATGGACTGAGTTATTTAGAACATTAATATAAATCAAAAACAACAAAGGGCCAAGAAAAGAAGCCTGAGAAACATTACAAACTATGTGTTTGTTATTTGATTTGTAACCATTAATGCTAACAAACTGTTTCCTATTTGAAAAATAGGATTGAAACCAATTAACTCTACGGATTCCATAATGTTTAAATTTAGAAATTAAAATGGTATAATTAACAGTATCAAATCCTTTTTGTAAGTCGATAAAAACACCACCAGTGTTTTTATTGACTGTTTTCTATTTATAGCTTTTTCTAGCTTAACAACTAGACCATTTTCTGAACCAGTATTTAAATTTGTATTGTCAAGAACAACAGCTTCAGGAGTTTCTATGCTATTAAACTCTTCTAGAACTTCTTTAGTTACATTTGCTTTACAAACTCCTTTGCTTTACAAATTTGCTTTACAAATTTTCTTAGAAGAAATATATTCTCAAATGATTTGATTCTCAATAACCTCCATGTGAATTAACTTTAACACTATCAAATAACTTTTGATATTTTAATTTTTGAAGTTTTAATGTTAATGCATTTATTATACTGATAAATGCTTCAACAAAGTTACTCTTGTTAACAAATACTTTGCAAACTTTAAAGTATAGAACAGTATGAATAATCAGATGCTGGTGAGAAAAATAATACATTTGCTAATAGTGAATTAATTTCTAAATCTGTTAAAATATCTGCTCCACAATGAGTTTGTTGTTCTATAACTAGCTGGTTTACTGAAGTTAGTTATAGAATTAGTTGCAGGAGTTTTCTTTGAAAATATTATTATGTATTTACTGTCAAATGAAATTTCTAGAACAGCATTTTAATAGCATTAATAATTGCACTTTTTTATGTAAACATTATGAAGTTTTTATTTTGAACTTTTATTCAGACACATCAAGCTGCAATTTGTTTATAATGTTGCTTATTGAGCTAGAGCCAGCACCCTACACAAACCTCTTGGTTTTAAGCCTGAACTCTAACCACTGCACCATGGCTGCTAGCAATTCTAAACAATTTTGCAAAAGTCATAACTAATTCATGAATAATTATTCAAAGTGAATACAGTTTCTTTAGTTTAACTTGCAGTATTAGACAATCAAATATTGCCTTATTACTGAAAACCATTAAAAAGTGTTATATTAAATAAAAGAGAGTAAAACAGCTGAGAGGCTAAGCATCTCAAATGATTGACATTTTACATTAAGAGTTAAAAAAAACAACTAAAGTAACCATTTGTTTTAAAATCAAAAAGCTTTTTTTAATATTTGTTTTTAATGTTGTTTAATTTTCTTAATATTACTTTGGGCAAAATGTAATGGGTTTTAGGTATTGTTCCATCACTGCTGATAAAACATTAACCACTATACATTAGAAAAAGCACGTAAACAATCTTATATAAGTTGCAATTTTATTGTTAAAAAATACTTTTTTTTAATTTTGTTTTTCTAACTTAAAATAGATTACTTTCTCTGAATAAACTAAATTTTGAATAACTAATTTTAATAACAGCTAAAGCATGTTATTGTGTAACAATCTATGATATATCAATTTTTTTTAATTTTTTGAAGTTTTGCTAATTTTTATAACCTTTTCTGAACCTTTTATTCACAGACAAAATTTTATCAAAAATTTAGATATTTCATTTTAAGGTGCATCTAATTCTACATTCAATACAATTTAATAACATCTTCATTTCAGATACATATGTAATATATATCTTTTGGGTGTCGATATGTAATGCATATCTTATGGGTACAAATATGTAATACAAATATGTTTTATATAGTGCTAGATTGTTTTAAACTTCTATTTAAATGATACTATGGAACAGTTGAAAACATGCATACATGTGTTATTAATAATAACAATAATAAAAATATTCTTATAAAAAATGTTGTTAATTATAATAATAACAATAATAATAATAATAATAATAATAATAATAATAATAATAATAATAATAATAATAATAATAAAATTCATATTAATAATGGTAATAACATAATACTCTATATAAAACTTTTTTTATGATTTGATTTTTGTTTATATAGCTGAATTTAAATATGCAGCAAATGCTATCATTCTCAAATGTTTTTTACAATTTGAAATATGTTTTATGGACTTATCATACACACAAAGAGTATGAAAAAAAACTAGTGAAGCATTCACCTGTTTCTTTGAACTTTTTTCTGCCTCTTTTTTAAACTTTTTAAGTTCCTCCTGATGTAATTCATAAACTTGCCTATTTTCTTCAACTCTGTTAAAATCTTTTTCTTTAAACATATTTAGCTCATTGTTTAAACTTTGAATTGTACCTTTTAGATCTAAAATTTCTTTTTCGTAATTTTTTCTTATTCTATTAATGTCTTCCATTAGCTCGTTTTTAACATTTATCTTTGATCTTTCGTTTTGCATTATAATACGATCTTTTTCTTGCAGCCATTGTTTTTTTTTGCAATTTAATAACTCATCGTGATTTTTTTTCAAAAGATTTATTTCTAAAGTAAAGCTTTGTTTTAAATAATCACACTCTTTTTGCAGTTCAATATCAAAGTTTTGCTGTAACTTAAATTCTGCAGCACTTAATAACCTCTGATATTTGATCGATTCTTCTTCACGAATATTTTGAATGTTTAAAAATGCTTCTCTTTTTAAGTTTTTATTTATACTTTTTTCATGGAGAAGTTCAGATTTTAGATGAGAAATGTGATATCGCATACTTTCAATTAGTTTAGAAGTCTCAAGTTTGTTTTGATTATAGCTCAAGCTTGATACACTTTGAGATCTGTTATAAGAATATCTCCTGTCTGTTGAAAGTCTCTCTAAGAGATTCGAATCTGACTTCCATATAGAATCTCTACTAAGCAAAGATGGAGTATATTTTCTTCGATTCATACTTGCAAATATTATTTTCAATACTTTTTAATGGAAATCGCTATCTGCTCATTTTGAAGCACCATATATATTTTTGCACCTCTTAAACATTGATACCTCAACAAAAAAGTTAAAATATTGATTGCTGAGTTCGTTCTTCACGCATTTAAGCGGCATGCATTTATTTCAACGGCACTTTGCATCAAGGAATTCTTAGAAAATTAGCTTACAAAATCAACTTGATCGGCGAACTTTTTTGTTTTAAAGTTAAAAAACGAATCAGAACGAGTTTCGTTTTCAGTTTTACTATAAAATACTTGAAGTCTGAATTAACCAATCAAAAATTGAGACGCGATTTCAAAAGTTGCAAAATTAAACTAGGTGTAGGAATGGTGGTAAAAAATTATATTAAAATTAAATTTAATATCCTTTTTTGATAAACTATTAATTATATTTAATTACAATATTGTAATTATATATAAATAATAGTTTAAAATTAAAGCTGAAGATGCTAATATCAAAAATCTAGCGAATATTTCTTAAAATTGAAATTAGTATTAAGAGAACTTATTCGTATTCATTGATATTCATATATTAAATTAATTCAACTCTCATACAAGATGTCGTCATATAAAATATATATATATATATATATGTATATATATATATATATATATATATATATATATATATATATATATATATATATATATATATATATATATATACATACATATATATATATATATATATATATATATATATATATGTATGTATATATATATATATATATATATATATATATATATATATATATATATATATATATATATATATATATATGTAAATAAATATATGTATATAAATATATATATATATATATATATATATATATATATATATATATATATATATATATATATATATATATATATATATATATATATATATATATATATATATATATATATATATAGTGGCGGAACTACCATACAGCAAAACACCGCAATGCAGAGGGGGGGGGGGGGGGTGCAGAGCTGTAAGGAGCCTATATTTTTTGAAGGAACTGCAGTGTTTAAAAATTATTATCAATTTTAGAAGTTTTTCAAAAAAAAGGCACGTTTTTTCTTAGTATTATTTAAAAGAGTACTAGTAATAACTAAGCAACTTTTATTAACGAATAAAAAAAGAACAGTTAATTATCTGTCCAAAATATACGAGAAATGATTAAAAAATGTTTTTTACTATGAATTTCAGATTTAAAAATTCAGTTTTTTTTGATTTCGCATAAAGTTCCTCCATCAGTTTTACAGTACATTCCGCAATTTATTAATATTAATTAATGATATCTCTATAGACCATGATACCTCTGATGATGCATCTTTAAACACTTAACTCTTCTTGCATTTTATCTTTTTTATCATCGAAGGACGCTACATTGTATTGTTGCGAATGGAAACAAGCATTTGCCCATTCGTAGGGCCGCCGAGAGCCGTTGCTTTTTTTTTCAGGTACCTTGCCACCAATCAGGTGTTGCAATGAATTTTTCAGAAGGTTTCTTTTTGTTTTTGTCATATAGATCAATCAGACTATTGAGTTTTTTTCTGATGAGTGCGCTAGATAATAGTTGAATATCTAGAAATTTGCTCCAGAGCAATTCTATATCTCTAATCCTAATTTCGATTCGATCCAGTCTCATTTTCTTGCTACTGAACAGAAAAGTAAAGTTTCCAAGAATTTGACGGTTTGTTGGCATCCGTGTGAGATTGGTTAACTTTTCGACAGATGGAATCCTTAAATTCCTTTTCTTTTTAGAAAAGGTTTTTTACCAAAACCTTTAAATCTCTAAATAATATTATTCAAACTCATATTAGACTTACTATAGAAACAAACAAAAAAAAAATTAAGTTAATATGAATCAAAGCTTTGATGCTGTTTAAAAAAGTGCAATCATGATCATATATATATATATATATATATATATATATATATATATATATATATATATATATATATATATATATATATATATATATATATATATATATATATATATATATATATATATATATATATATATATATATATATATATATATATATATATATATATATATATATATATGTATATGTATATATATATATATATATATATATATATATATATATATATATATATATATATATATATATATATATATATATATATATATAATACGTCAGTTTTTATTTTTTGCAAAATAACCAAGTATAAATGAAAGCCTAAGAAGCTCTACTAAAGAGCGCGATTTAGGAGTCATTTTTACATCTAATCTTAAGTGGAGCGCACATATTCAATCAGTTGTCTTCAAATTTTATACATTCTTGGTTCTTGGTATGCTAAATCACCTTTATTGTAACTAAACAATTGAGATTCGTTTTGGGGTAGCGGTTCTGAAACTAATGTTTTCCAAGTAATACTAAATTGACCCTTAGTGTTATCACCTAGTGTAGCATTAGGAGACAAATTTAAAATAAAACTATTGTTGTAGGTAAATAATAAGTCCAAGATATTTTTTGGGGAACCATAGGTTGTCTGGAAATTAGGGATTGTGATGTGTTGTGTAAGGAGGCTATTTTGGTAAATGTTCCAAAATTCATACTCGTTAGAATTGTTTGGATTGAAAGATTTAATACCAATAATTATTTATTATTAGACCACTTCATATTCGGGAGAGACCACTTCATATTCGGGAGAGACCACTTCATATTCGGGAGTTTAAAATCACCAACGATCAAGTAATCATTGCAGGGCTTCCTAATTAAGCTATGAGCTAATTTGAAAGATTCAGCGACTGAATTGGTTTCGACTATTGCGACTAGTTGGCGCAACTGAAATGGTTTTGCACTAACTGCTTTAGTTCAAAAAACTTTAATTTAGAATTTTAAAAAGAAAATTTAAGATATTTTTTTTTTTTTAAAGATCATTTTTTTTCGTATTTTTAATGATATTTTTTTTTGTAAAAGTAATTTTACGCAGATAAGTCATTTGTTTTTGAAGATTGAAATTATTTATTATATTGAATTTATGATAATTATTACATTCTTTTATTTAAACTTTAAATCAATAGCTCGAAACATTTTTTTACTATTAGAAATAGACATGACGCTATAATTCTGATAATAATAACTCCCTCAATTCTCATTTTCTGTTGTAAAATTTAAAAGCTTTTACTTATATTATTTTTGTGATAATGGTTTTTTAAAAAAGTAGATAATTAATTCCCTTTCTTTCAATCTTTTTTTTTTTTTTTTTTCGATATAAAAATAAATATTTTAATTAAACAAATAATTAAAAGTCTAATACTAAAGGTGAAGCAATACTTATAGCATAAAAAGTTTGCTTATTGCACCTTTTGTAGATTAGTTAAAGCGGGAAATTGAAAATAAATATTTAATTTCAGATGAGTTCTTGAAAAAAATTTTCTTCAGGATGCTTTTAAAGCGTACATTTTTCACGTGTTAGGACACGTTAAATATTAGTAAAATATAAAATAAAAAAATACTTTTTTTAATTAAATAGTTTCCGTTCAAATAAATGTGTAATTTTAAAAAACTGCATGCTTTTTAAAGGTGTTTCAAATAAATTTTTTTAAATTTTTTATTTTCTTTATATTTATTACCATTTTTTTAAATCAGCACTTTTGTATTATTTCTTTAATACAATTGTCAAAAAAACTTAGATAAAAGTACAGTTATTGAGGACACCTCAAAGATGTAAGATTTTAGAGGAGCATTACAAATTCATTCAATTCGCAAAACAAGTTTTTTATTATTCATAAGCAATGAACAAATATAATACAAGAGTTTGCTTAACAAGAAAATTTAAAATCAAAACATTTTTAAATTGCGCCACCGTAATTGCCACGCTTTAAAAGATTGCAAATTATTATTTGCCCTTAAAAACGTTTTGCAATTGCAAGGTTCAAATAACCAATTTTAAACAGCCAATCAAATTTTAAACGTTATTGCTATTCCCTTGACAATTATATGAGATATTTTTGGTAAAAAAGTTATAAGCACAATTTTTAAAAATAAACATTATTAAAAATTGGCGAGTAAGGCCCGTCAAATGAAAGGTATATCCATTGTTATGTTAAGTTAAAAAATTTTATTTTCGAAATTTTCTCCTGTGACTCTATCTAGCAACATATTCAATAAAATTTTGTTTTTTTGTATATATATATATATATATATATACATATATATATATATATATATATATATATATATATATATATATATATATATATATATATATATATATATATATATATATATATATATATATATATATATATATATACATATATATATATATATATATATATATATATATATATATATATATATATATATATATATATATATATATATATATATATATATATATATATATATATATATATATATATACGTAGATGGTTTTGTTAATTGTGCAACAATGCTGGATTTATATGATTGTTTACATTCTTTCTACAAATGCAACACCTCAAGCAACACCGTTTTCATCAAACGATCTAAACAACTATTTAGAAGACTCTATAGCTCAATACCGTTTAAATGTGCATAAAAAGCTACAACAGAGTAGGAGACGCTCAAAAAGAGAGATTCATATTGATGACTTTTTACATTCAAGTAATAACAACGGTAAGAAAAATTTTGAACAAATTAAATTTTTTGTATTTGTTTGCTTAACTATGTTCGAAAAGACTTTTTCTAGTTTTTGTATAAATTGGAAATGGGACTAAGCATATAAGTGTGAATTTTTTGCGTTTTGTATAATTGGAATTTTGATGACCGTACAAATATTTTGGACGTTACAAGCATATTTTTTCACAAGTTACATATTATTACATATTATTTATATAGCATAGGGGATGTTGGGCCACAGTATATCGGATTTCTTTATTTTTTAAATTGAGCAAAAGCTAAAATATGTATTTTATTTTTTTACAAAATAAAATACATATTTTAGCCAAAAAAGACAAAAGAATTGAGATATATGTCATTCATGATAATAAATCAATGAAACCCAAATATTTATTATCTGACGGCTCACAGAAAAATTTAAAGTGAGTTGTGTTATGTTATTCACTGTGCCCCAGTACTGGCAGAACCGTCCCGAGGAGGGGCATAGGGGGTGTCTAGTGTCTCTACGAATTTTATTAGTCGGCAAATAGGACTCTAGAGTCGACAAAGTTAGATTTATTTTTGGCAGTCGGCAAATGTCGGAAAACGAGGACCTTTTTTAGATAAGTTAGTGGGAAAATGTTTCGGCAAAAAACATGGCACTCCCCTCCCCCAATCCTTTAAAATCTCTTCGGGACGACTCTGAGTACTGGGCCACAATGAATAAATGAACACAGCCGTGAATTAATTATAGTGAATAGAGGCATAGCCAAATAACTCTGAGGCTGAGGGAGTAAAGACACATACTTTTATTAATTAGATTAGTATAAAATTGAAAAAATAGACATTTTGAAAATTGAGAAGAAAAAAAAAGATTTTTAATGATAACAAAACTTATTCAAATATTAATATCCTTAACTTAAAACTAATAAATTCATTTTCATGTAGTTTGTTTGTTAAAAATGCTTGAATTTAATCTTTAAGATCATTAATGGGGCATAGTGAATCAACCTATTCACTGTACCCCAATTCACTGTGCCCTACCATAACAAATTAAGTTTAAGTCTAATTTCTTGGGACATGAGTGTTGTTAATAGAAAAGCTAAACTACTAAAACGAAGCATAAATATCAATAATTCGAATGAAAAACTTCAACTTTTGAAATTATTTCAACCATGATCTTCAAACAACCAAACAAACATAAGGACGGTAAGAAAATTTACTTTAGTTAGCTAAAAACAAATATTACCTACCAAAAACCGGTAATCGAAAATTATGTCGTATCAACTATAAATAAAGATGGCTGATATATGTAACGTTCATGTGACGTTCACAAGACGTCGCGACGTCTTATTTTTTTAAGGTTTATAGGTTTAAGTTAAGGTTAATGTCTTAAAGTTAAAGTTAACTTGTTCAACATCTTTTATTATTTCATTTTTAATTAAAAGATTAAGTACGAAATGAATATATTTTTTTTATTCTTTATTTTTTTACACATTTCAGTAAACCGTTTTACAATAAAATAGTTAATATAATAAAACGTTTCATAGTAAGAAATAAGTAAAATATAAAAGAACGCAGATACAGAAGACCAATCATGATTGGTCTTAAAAGACCAAACATGTCCTATCTTAGAAGACCAATCATGTCTTGTCATTGAGAACCGCTCGTAAATTACAAACCTCTTAAAATTATTTCATACATAAATCAATACATAATACAATGCATACATAAAAAATACAGCAATTAAGCGTTTACAAAATAGAGTTATTAAACGTTTAAAAATATAAAAGTATATTATCCAGAGACAAAATGATTTTTTTTAAGTTTTTTCTTAAAAGAGAGATAATTCCAAAAGTCAAAATGTTTTAAAACTATTTTGTTCCAAGAAAGGTCTACGAAATAAATGCTTAATTTTACAAAACTAATTAATTTTGTAAAATTAAGCATTTATTTTAAATGGTTGCCGAATTAAATTATCATTTCTTAAATTGTATTTATTTTGATTTTTTGTATTTTTTGCATTGATGTATTTAAGTTGTGGAAAGAAATGGGGTAGAAATTAGTTTTACATTTGAACATAAAACAAAGTATATTAAAAACATTGAGCTGAAATATATTAAGAATTTTCATTTCAAATAAAAGAGGCGTTGCATAAATAAACCTGTATTTAAAATTCATAAGATGAGCAACATATTTCTGTTGACGATAAAAAGGCTCCAGTTTAGATTTATTAGCATTACACCAAGCAATATTTATTAGTATAACTTACCAAGCAGTATTTGTACACTTTGTTTTTTTTTAATAGTAACTTATTTTACAAAATTTTTAAATTTTAAAAAAGTAAATGTAAATCAAGAGGTATTAGTTTTGTTTTGGAAATTGAACAAAAGAGTGACTATTTTGTTTTTTCAAAATTAGGCCGAGTGAATAAAAAAAAGCAATTGCTCACAATTGCTTTAAGTAAATATAAAAGCTGAAAAACAAATGCTCGCGGCAAAAGCAATTGCTCTAAAATACGTGGATAAAGTTTTGCTTTTGCTCATAAGCAACCGCTTCCGCCAAGAAGTAAAAGGTTTATGCCGCTACGAACAGAAATAGTTGTTTATTTTTTGTTTAAAAAAGGCTGCTTTTAGTTTAAATCAGACTAATGTTAATGGTAAATAAAATGAAAATAATGATAATTAATGTGAAGATGAAATCGTCGCTGTTATCATCATTTTTATTTTGCCCAGTATATATATATATATATATATATATATATATATATATATATATATATATATATATATATATATATAAAGAAACGAAAAAATAGTAAAATAAAGTAAATAAATAATAAAATGAATGTCCAATTATCTAAAATAAAACAAAAATAACTACTAAAGATGTTTTTTGACTTATAACTTTTTTGGTAGTCTCTCTTTTCAAACCTCTATTCCGACGTTGAGCTTCCTTGACATCCGAAAACCGGGATTTTAGGGAATAGGGAAATTGGGATATATAGGAATAGGCGCTTCGCAGTGCACATTTATTTACTGATTTATTTAGTCATAGGTACAGCGAATGTGCATACATTGACTAAGAGTTTAGGTTTGGGCAGGTTCTCTTAAACTAAATGAATTATCTTTTTGATATTTGCGAACTTAAAGGAGACCTTTGGAATAGAGGTTTGATAAGAGAACTTACCAACTTTTTTATTCACGCACTTTTCTCATATGTAAGCAATTGGTCAGCGTAAAAACATTCGAGCAAAAAAGAGCAGTTACTCAAAATTTTATTCACGTAAAGTCAAGCATGCACGTTTTTAGAGTAATTGCGCAATTACTTCAAAAACGCTGAGTGAATGCAATTGCTCTTTTTTATTCACCCAATTAGTGAAACCTTTTTCATTTTAAACCAATCAGAAATTTTCGCTAATTCATTATTCATATTTTGAAATAATGTTAATATGTTATTTTCAGATAAAAAAAGATTTGTGTCGTCAGCAAAAATAACTTCAATTAACTTTTATAAGCTTTATAAAGATCATTCATGTAAATGAGAAAGAGAAACGGCCAGACTATAGAACCCTGTGATATCATGGCCGACGCCATTAAGGCAACAAGGGATGACGTCCCGTCTCCTCCCTTACCTTTTTTCTATAGGATCTTATTTTTTTTCCAAAGAAGTTTCAAGATATAAAGGATTTTTCTTAGACTGGCGATTGTGCCTCACATCCCACTTTAAAACCCGTGTCGTCGGTTCTGGGTACTCCGCAGGTTATATTTATTAAACTGACGGGATTATTTTCATTTCCATAATATTTAATTATAATAATTTTATAATGTTCAATTTTTTGAAGGAAAATTTTATGATCAATTGTATTTAAATCTTTTGATAGATTCAGGCTTGAAATATTAGAGGTGTCTTCAAATTATGTTTTAATTTCTGTACATTTATTTTTAATTTGATCTGCAACAAAAGTAATAAATTTAATTTTTATACATTTATTTTTATTTTTAAATTGATTCAACAAAATCAATAAATTGTATAAAACTATTTTTTTTGTTGCAAATTTTAGCGTATGAAGTACAATTACAAAATATTATACCTATTCAATCTGTACCTACAATTTACCCTATGAAGTTAACCCCGTTTGTGATAAAAAACAAAACTCATCTTGCTGTTGTAAACTTTAAATCAGACAATGAAAAATATTCGTCATTATCTTCAATCTATTATATTAACGAATCGAGTCAAACAAGCAAGTTTCAGTTATTGCAAAATTTTTCAACGTCTGGTGGTGTACACTTTGAGTTTGCTGATTTGGGTAGTGAAAAGTATGCTATATTTCTCGACTCAATTGGCGATCAAAGCTGGTTAAAAGAAAGTGTATATAAAAAGTCATTTTCAATTTATCAGTATTTGCCACAAGAAAATGCTCTTCGTCCTTTTCAATACAAAAGTAAAATCCTTGCTCTAGGTGGAAAATCTGTAAAGGTATTTTTAAGACAAGGAATTCCTTTTTTTGTTACGGCAAATTCATTTTATGATAATGGTTTACGGTATCAAGTAAAGTCCACACTTCATGCAAAAACAACAAAAGGGTTTGAATTAATTCAAGAGTTTGATACAATGTCAGCTCAGGATGTTGAAGTTATTACGATTAATGGTGAACGTTTTATTTTATTTGTTAATCACCAAGACAACAGTGGAAATGTTGATATATACTCTTCAGTATACAAGTACGTTAATGATATTTTTAATTTTTGAACTGGTAACTAGTTTAATTAAGTTCCTAATATAAACATCACACTAGAGTGTTTATATTACTCTTTTAAATTTATATTTCTTTTAAATATATTTTTAATAAATATATATATACATACCTCGTAGAATCAAATTTTGTGAAATAAAATGTTGTGCAGCAAGCTGAATATTTTTCGTTACTACTTTAAAACTTTGTTTAATTTAGAGAGCGTTCCGCAATAGAATATAACGGTATTGACGGACCATTTGCATTATACCAAAGTATTTTAACTCATGGCGCTAAGGATTTTGAGTACTTTATGTTCGAAGGCAATCATTACTTAGCTGTTGCGAACGAATATACAAAAATTACAAGTGTAGACATGGTTACCCAAGCTTCAGTAACTACAACTCTGTACGATATTGATTCGGTCATATATTGGTGGACAGGTACTAATCTATATTTTTTTAAATGTTTTATTTAATTTTAGTATATTTTAATTTTAGTATATTTTAAGCGCGGCCGTGGCGCAGTGGTTAGAGCGCTTGCTTTAGAAGCAGATCCAGGTCCGAAACGAGCTCTGGACATATTTTCGCGACACGGTAAGGAAGGAGGCATGAACTTCCTGATTAAATGCACATCCGCGGCGCTCTGTGACAAGACCGTTTAGGTCTTCTTGGGGCACCTAAAAAACAAAAAACAAAAAAAAGAAAAAAAAAAAAAAAAAAAACTAGAGACCTTATTGTGACCTTGGGACAAATTTTAATATTTTAAAATATTTTTAATATGTTTTTATCAGAAAAATCAATATATTTTTTTGATAATTTATTGTGTGTTGTGTTTTTATATAAAAAAAATTAAAAAATTTTTTTTATATATATCTAAATATGTAAAAAGCAAGAGTTTTTTTTGGGACCCGTTTCATCTGTTTAAGATTCACTAAGAAGAATGATTTATATTCAAAAGTTTGAATTATAGATCAAAATATTACATATGAAGTTAGACACTATTGAAATTAAAACAATTAATTACTATAACTTGTAAATAAATAAAATCTTACAGTTACAATGATTTATAAATCTTCTTCAAATCTCTAGATCTCTTAAAAAATTATGAAAACTATGCTTCTACTATAATTGAGGTTAGTTTAAGTTTTTAATTTTCAAATCATAAATTATAATTTCTTTAAATTATAAAGTAAGTTAATAGCTTAAAAAAATTATAAATTTTTATAATACTAAAACTGAAATAGTTAAATATTTTCATGTCTATTTTTTTAATTTGATATTAGTTCTGATTTTAGGAATTGAAATTTAAAAAGTATTTCTCCACTAGTTTAGAACTTATTCATAAAAAAAAAAATCTTTCACGGATATATTTGTCGGGCAGTCATAAAGTATATTCTATAATAACAACAAAAAATTTTATAATTTAATTTATATACTACTTTATATACTACCCCATCAATGATTTTTAGTCGGCAAATTGGATCCTTAGTCGGCAAATTGGACCCTTAGTCGGCAAATTGGACCCTTTCGATATAGGTTAGTCGGTAATGTAGACAGTCGGCAAATGTCGTCATGGCAGTCGGCAAATTTTGGAAAACGAGGACCTTTTTTTTTTTTTTTTATAGTCGGCAAAAGTTGTAATGGCACCACCCCCCACGTGACATCTACTCGCGCCGGCCCTGGTTACACAATTTGATTTGTTTAAAGTAGCACATTAAAAATTTAATTTGTTTATTTTTATTTATCTATTATGTAAATATATATATATAAAATTAATATTATAAAATAATATTAATAAAATTTATTAAATAATATTACAATATTTATAAAATATTATTATAAAATTTAATTAATTTATTTTATATTAAAAAAGTTTAATTTATTTTATATATAGATAACAATAATAACGACACCAGGCCAAGTGTCTCATTTATTTTGAAAACTTATACACTGAACATTTTTTGGATTTTTTGATGGCATATCTGAAATTCTGTTAAATATAATAAATTAACTAAAAGCACAACCGTTTGAGCAAAAAATGTGATTCTCTTACTCCGTATGGTATCAATCAACTATACATCATCTAAAAACGTTATTTCAAAACACTAATAATAAAAACTCTTCAGTAATAATGTCAGCAAATCTTTTGTAAAAAAAAACAAGTAAGAATAAAAGAACTCAAAGCGACAGGATCAAAATTTATTAATGTTTTTTAGATCTTAAATCTTAAACACTTTTTACGTTTGACGTTCGGCGAAGTACTTTTTTGCTTTACGTTCAGATACGTAGTTTGTAGGCGTTCGATCAACTAATGTATTCTGAAAAAAAAATTTTTACAGTCAAGATGATTCACAATTAGTTTGAAAATAATCTAAAATAAATACTTAATAAAAATAACATAAAAACAATAATAATAATAATAATAATAGCAATAATAATAATAATAATAACAATAACAAAATTAAAATAACAATATAATAACAATAAGTTAATTAGATCTTTAAACCCGATTTAATCATATGAACAAAAACAAAGACAGTTTAAAAAATAGTGATAAAAATAAGAAAATCGTGTCATTTTCCTAGTGGCTTAAATATTGAAAAAATGTAAACATCATTTAATTTTTACATTGATTTTTTACATGATTTTCAATTTTAACCTAACAAACAATAATCTGATTTTTTTTAAAGCTGTCAATGTTATAAGCAAATAGCAGTTTTATCTTTAAGTAGAAGATTATGATTCGAAGCAGTTTATATACAGTAGAATACCGTCAACTTGGACTTTTTTTTTTTTAAATATATTTTGTTTTTTTCTTTTGACATTCCAAACAATATTTGCTTTGGAATGCCATATTTCTTTGATATAGATACACAGGTTCTCCTTTGTCAAGTTCTTTTAGTATCATGTTTTTTTCTATTATAGTTCTATTTGTTACCTTGCTTTTAGCAGCCTTAATTTTTAATAAATAAAATTTAATCAAAAATTAACGATTCAAAGAAATCAGTGAAAATGTTTACTTTGTAAAGATTTATTTGACGCTAAGGTTGAACGATCTAAGTTTTAAATTTTAACTTTGAACGATCTAAGTTTTAAATTTTAATTGATATTTTTGAACTACTAATATAATAGTCATTAATAAATAGAACTTAATCGAAGCTTAACCGAATTGAAGATATCAGTGAAAATGTTTAGTTACATTTGACGCAAAGGTATTTTCGAGCGTTCTAATTTTAGAATTTTCATTTAAGTATTGGAAGTTTTGTTATATATGCTCTTATATGCAGTTGCAAAATAATAGTCCTAGTTATATGCAAAATAAAAGTCCTAGTTAGGCGAAGTTTTATGCCGAAGGGACCGTATGAAACAGTATGAGTAAGCAAATGGTCCGACTTAACCAGGATACTACTGAAGCAAATGATTTTATAGTAAGTTGATATCGGCATAGTCTTAAGAATACACAGTCAGAAAACACGGACCATTTCCATTGTTTTTTGATTTTAACTAGGGATGTACCGAAGCTAAAATTTTGCCGAAGCCGAAGCTTCGGCCGAAGCCACTTTGCCGAAGCCGAAGCTTCGGCACTATATATGCTTAAAATTTAATCAGCATTCAGATCAGCAGGGGTGTAAAACAAAAAATATTCCAAAACTAAGATCCTTGAATAATAATATAGAAAAAATGTATAAAAATGAGGACACAAGTCAGGGTTGCTGCCCCAGGCAGGGCAAAAGCTCTCAGCGCCCCTGTTTGAAAGTTTCTCATTATGTCGTTTCTGATACTTCACCGCACCTAGTGTTTTTTTTTTTAACTTAAGCTTTTTTAAAATATTCTCCCCAAATTTTCCTACTTCTAATTCTACTTTTTCTGTGTGCAAACCATATTAATGTTATATAGTGCACAATATCAGTAACTCACATATATTTCCAACTATTTCTAATATTCTTCTAAGATTATTGCTATTTTTTTGATCTTTTATAGCCATACTGTTCTTCTATGTAAACATCGTTTCTCTTTAATCCTCTATCTAATCATCTAATTTTTAATCCTCTATTTAATCATCTTGTTTGTTCTATCTAATTATAGTGTGCTAGCTGAACATCTTCAAATTTTATTCCCCATAAATTACTGTTACGCATCTTTTCATGTGCTGTATATTTTATTTTTATTTTTAATGCACCTTTTGTTAAGAGTAGATAAAAATCTCTGAATATTACTCAAGTAAATTAATCTTTTACACTTGAACACTCTTTCTCTAAATAAACACTCTTAGCTGATCTAGTTGTATCTACAACATAAAAAATCTTACAAACACACTTTATCTTTTTATTGCTATTTATTTCAAGATCTTTTTTTTACTTCTCTGTATTCATTAAACGAACAATTTCTAAACTAAAAAAAACCCTAAGTTAAGAACATTTTGTATTCCACTACAACTGTTGTGAACCTGCTGCTAAAAAAAAGTACAATTGATAGATTTCTCTCTAACTTCTTTTTTACACACTTTTAAGTTGTTGTTGTTTTTTTTTATTATTTTTAATTTTACACTACATAACATTTTCTTAAGCTTCTTTTAATCTTTTACACTCTGAAATTATAGTATTCATTCTTCTTCTGTCTCTGTAATGGATAAATCTGCATCAGTATCTGAAATCAAATATTAACTATCCGTGACAAAAACTTCTATAGTAATCTAACAACTCAGTAGAGTGAGCTTTAAATAAAATGATAAATAGAATACTTTATAAATATTTTATTTATAATTATATTATTATTTACTTTATATTTATAAATAGACAGGGACTAAGCAGGCTGATATTTATTTGATTTAAATTGTTTATTTAATTTAAATAAATTTTGATGATAAATATAAGAGCTCAAAATAATCAAAGCTTTAAACTTTAATTTATTTTAAATAAAATTTAAAAGTCTGCATATCATAAGAAGAAACCAGAATATAAGTTTATATGTTTAATATATAAATTCAATTTAGAATTATTCATAATATTAATAAAAGAGCAAGGATAATTATTATCATTGTTTTCTTTTTCTTTTAACTTATATAGTTTTGGTTGACTTTTTTTTTCTTTTTTTATTCTCCTCATTTATATTTCATTTGCATTTCTTCCTTTTTTGTTGTTGAAAACTTTATGTTTTTTATGTGTCACTCCATTGACTAGTTTGTAACTATATAAGTGACACCTTACCAATTTCTGTAATCTTACGATGAAAATTTGTAAATTTTTATTATTATGGTTAAATAAAATTTAACATACACAGAATTTAAAATAGTAGCAACGTATCTTTAATCTTCTTTAAAGTGAGATTACTAAGGTTTATAGGTCAAATGTTGAAACGAATTTTTGTTCTATTTGCGGTAATCCCACACAAAAATTAATATAAATTCGTTACATAATACAAATTAAGGTGTTTTTTTCCAT